TTTTCTCCTCGAGTATCTTTTTCTGTGTCTTCTCTTCTAGTACCGATTTCTAATCCTCTATCTTATTCTTCTGGATTCTCCTAGTTCTATCTAGTTCTTTCTGTCTTCTGAATTCTTGTTACTTGTTCTACACTACATTGAGTTCTTCAAGTACAATTGAGTGGGATTTTTGTATACATAAATGCAAATTCCAACATGTGTCTAACCAAAATCAGTTAAAACTGCAAACAAGGTGGTTAAAAAACATTAGCATACATGTATTGAAAATGCAAACAAACCTGCATACGAGTCACAAGAACCCATATAGGATTTGTCAGCAACACGTTCAGGGAACTGCAAGGTAAAATATTTGAAAGAAACTTATCAAACCACCAAGTGGAAATAAGTCACCTACCTATATCCTTCAAAACTAAATTCCAGTTCAACAATCAAATATTTGATAGCCAAGCCAGCTAGGCATAACGATAAATAAAAAATTGAAAAAATTGGCTCAATTACGCTCTTACCCAGACTTCCAAACTTCTTCAAGAATGGTCGTTATGAAAGAAGAAAAACAAATAGTTTTTTTCTATTTTAATGGCACAAGAGAGGAATTTTTGTTTTGTTTTTGTTTTACCCAGCTAAAGCCGCCACAAGAAGCCAAGAAAACATCCCAACAGTACCATCCCCATGTCCTTTTGCTTTCCGGGCAACTGCAATGGCCTCAGCCTTGTTTTTGAAAACCTGATAAAAATAGTAATAGATGCCCTGCCAGAATGATGTAAAGAACTATCACTAACATTCATTATCCTCTATAGTGTGGCATATTTCTGATTCTATTAGAACCCGTTTGGAATCAAGGATTTGAGTAAACAAATTTTGATAATGGCAATATTGATGGAATGAGTGTTGTAATGGTTTTTTTTTTTTTCCCCCAATTAATGTAGTTTTCATTGAAATCCTTAATTGAAATTCCTGCATTAAAAACTTTACCAAAAAAAACGAAAAGACATTCCTGTATTAAAAAATGTTACCCAAATAAGGAAATTTCAAATATGCAGACTTCATATATCTAAATTTCAAATTCTTACAGTTGAAATCCAAATCCAAATAGCCCTTACTTTATCCAAATCATTTCGAGGAAAAAAAAAAAGATATAATGAAAAGAAAGAAGAATAACCTGTGAAGCAGCAGTCCCAAGCAGAGAAGGCTTAAGGCCGCTGTATAGTCCTCCCCAACCGTCGCTTCGTATTACCTAAATATCATTACAAAAAATAAAAATAAAAATAAAAACAAGGTTGACAAATAAAATGTAATTACAGCGATTTATGATGAACCTGGAGGATTTGAACAAGAGTCCCAAGGCGTTTGGAGTTAGCTAAGGATTTCTTGGCAACTCTCTCGGTTTGTTGGCGCGTATTGACCTGCAATTGACCAAAAAGGGACTAGAGCGTACGAACCAACTGTGGTTTGGTTTTAAAATTGCTCGTAATTAAGAGTGAGAGAGAGAGATATGGAGGAGGAGAAGTACTGTTTGGAGGGGATAAGTGATAATCTGGGCAATCATGCCACCGCCAGCTCCTGCCAGCCCATTCGCCACTGCGTTCGACATTCTTTCTTTCTACTTTCCACTCTCAACTGGTTTTTTTTTTTTTTTTTTTTTTTTTTTTTTTTTTTTTTTTTTTTTTTTTTTTTTTTTTTTTTTTTTTTGCAACTGCCAATACCCACTCGGCCACTCCACCTAATTATCTCTAATTTTTTTGAGGAGGTTTTATTCATATTTTTCTTATCCTACCCCCACTCTTTTTTTTCTTTTACAACTAGCCTATGCTCTGATATGTTTTCCAAACAAATCGGCCCACAAATTTGAATTAAGTAAGCAAATCTTATCACTAAGGAAAATTATAAAATAGTATGTCAGCTAGTGATACTTCTATTAAAAATATGTCATGTGGCATATTTTTAAACAACTCACACTTTATTTTACAGATGGAATTGGAACCTAATTTTTACCATGTAAAATAAAATTATGAAAATAACAAAATAAAAATAACAAGAGACGAGCAATTGCCCACCCCAACTCAGTCGCTTACTCCCGTGCTGCCTGCCCTGGTCCTCTCTCTCTCTCTCTCTCTCTGCTAAATCATAGCCAGATTTCCTTCTCAACCTTTCAGTGTTATTTTCTAGTTAATGAATGTCTCACTGGTTTGTTGACTTCTAAATTATATATTATCATCAGATGTGAAGAAGGTTGTAATAAGAGCATGGGCGGAACTACCTTAATTACTAAGGTAGGTTGTAGCTGTGGGAGCAAATTTCCTCCCATGAGAATATTCGATTGAGATTCCTCTTCCTTCGTCGCCGTCTCCTTCTCCTGCAAAATAGATCGGAGTAAAAGGACCACACCCTAGCCACCATATTCTTTCTCTCCCTTACACAAGGCTCCGGCCACCACACACGGCTCCGGCCACCCGGTTTTCCTTGAAATACTCAACCTAACTTAGGCATCGGAGGGCCTTTGCCCAACACCCCCCGGGTGTGGTCCTTTTACTTCGATCTATTTTGCAGGGAGAAGGAGACGGCAACAAAGGAAGAGGAATCTCAATCGAATATTCTCGTGGAAGGAAATTTTGCCCAACCCCCCCCGGGTGTGGTCCTTTTACTTCGATCTATTTTGCAGGGAGAAGGAGACGGCAACAAAGGAAGAGGAATCTCAATCGAATATTCTCGTGGAAGGAAATTTGGTCCTACAAATTGGTGCTTTCATTGAGAGCACCAATTTGTATGAGCAAATTTCGTCCCACGAGAATATTCGTTTGAGATTCCTCTTCCTTCGTCACTGTCTCCTTCTCCCTGCAAAATAGATCGGAGTAAAAGGACCACACCCAGGGGGTGTTGGCCAAAGGCCCTCCGATCTATTTTGCAGGGAGAAGGAGATGGTGACGAAGGAAGAGGAATCTCAAACGAATATTCTCATGGGACGAAATTTGCTCCTACAGTAGCCTAGGGGGAGTTTTGGGGAATAAAAAAATCAAACCTATATATTTGACTTGTTTTAAACATTTCCCAATATGGATTAAACTATTACTAGTCAAAACAAGTCCGATTTATTATGAGTTTAGTTGCAAGACATCAATAAAAATACACATTAAAATAGTTACCCTTTCAATATGTTGTCGAACATATTTTTCATCTTATAATATATGATGTTTGGTTTCATTAATATGTATTTGTTTTATATTAAACCTTATTGGAAATTAGCATTTAGCCATGCACTCGAGGTCCTAGGTCCAATTCCCCTCTCCACACATATCGCTTGTATAAAAGGAAAAAAAATGTAATGAAAATTAGTCAATGAAATTATGAACTAGCGTGATTTTTATAATTTAATGTATACTTTTATTTCTAAAAAGACTATAGAAACGGGAAGTAAAAAAAAGATTTGTAAGATTTTAAGGTAATAACTTTAACTAGCCCACCCATTGAAAAATTCATGATTCGGCCCTTGAATGAGAGGTGGGTGTGTCACAAAAAAAAGCTAAAATTGACCAGTAGGAAATTTATTGGGCTATGGGGATTTGGCTTACTTGTGACCAATGACGGTTCATGGCAAGCAGAGAAAGAAGAAGACATAGGGGTGGCGTTCGGGGTAGGCGTTGGGTTGTGTTGGGTTGGTGGGACATTTTCTTTTCTTTTCTTTTTTGCCTAATTTTATTTCAGTGGATATATAAATAAAGTCCAGCTATAAAAAGAATAATTATTTACTTTCTAAAATAACACATGACATATTTTGAGTGGAAGTATCACTAGCTGATGTAGTGATACCGTACTACTCTATAATTTCTCAAGGTTTAGGGGCACCTTGTAACTCCAAACGCCTTGGGACTCTTCTTCAAATCCTGGTTCATCATAAATCACTGTAATTACATTTATTTTGATTTTATTTGCCAACCTTTTGTTTTTTATAAATTATTTGAGGGGGTTGTGCACAGCTACAATGGGAATAGCATAAACACAACTATTTTATTTGAGGGGCACCTTGTATACTATGAATTTTATTTCGAAGATTTAAACAATCTATTTTTTAAGTCTTCATTCATAAATCTTCCTCCCAAGAAAAAAATTAGACCAATTCATGGGCGGAACCACACTAAGGGCTACAACCTAGTGTGGTTTTTTAAGGAAAAAAAATATAAAACCTATATATTTAACTTGGTTTCAATATTAGCCCAGTATATATTAACTTATTTATAAAGCCCAAAAAAGTCCAATTTTTTTATTTATTTATAAATTTAGTTGGAGGGCAGCAATAAAAATACACATTAAAATAGGTTCACTTTCAGTTATGTTATTGAACATATTTTCATTTTGATCATATGTGTTTTTCATTTGCATTTAATATGTATTTATTTTTTATTTTTGATAAAGAGTGATAGTATTTTATTGATAAGAGGAACATAAACAAGTACAGAGCCGCTATGGTGTTAAACCATATTTGGTTTATGTTAAAGCTTATTGAAAATTAGTCTATGGAGCTATGAACTAACATGGTTTATATAATTTAATGTTTACTTTTATTTCTAGAACGATTATAGAAATTGTAAGTACCAAAAAAATAATCATTAAATTTTAAACTAATAACTTTAGCTAGTCTATCGTTGAGTCTACCCGTTAAAAAATTTCTGGTTCCGCCCTTGGACCAATTGAAAACCATTAAGGCATATGCCACCCCCACCACCCCCTTTTTTATACTTTGCTTTGCTTGTTTAATCGTTCTTTGTTTGCTTGTTAGTTTAGTTGAGTCATAAAAAGGAAATCCATAAACATAGTCATAATTGGATTAGGTTAACTAATTAAAATCAATTTGATGTCTTCGTGGGAGATGTAAATGTAGAGAATTAATGCGAAGGCAGAGATGTAAGGCCCAGTTTGGTGCCTAGGATTGAATTAGATTGGATAAGTCACTAAATCTAAGGTATATATATATTTTTTTGGTCAATCAAAGTTTATTAAAACCCCAAAAATGGAAAGGAAACAAACAGAGAATACAAGGCCAAAAATGCCAATGCAGAAACAAAGTACCACAAGCACAGGGAAGATTAAACTAAGAACCAGAACAACCTAGTATAACAAATCTTCCCCATACAAAATCAAAACAAAATACAAAACCGAGCCACCGTCGCCACAAAGGGACCGGAGAACACACCTACCGCACCAATATGGCCACAAAGGAGGGGATTCACATCCTCCACATAAGTTAGCATAGTTGCACATAGAGACCCACCGATCTTATGTCAAGAACAAAATTTCCCAAAAAAATAGAAGCACATCAGCACAAGAACATTCCTCCAAGAGTCACTTTCCACTTCACACCTGAGTCCACTTGTGCACTAAGAAGAAAACAGCAACCAATCACAACACCAGCATGGTATATACCAAAGGATCGATATCAAGGGAGTGGACAGTATTGGTGCAAGCACCAAAGCTAGAGCCGTAGCAAGAGCTCTATATACAATCCGATAACGACGCGACAAAGCGCTCAAAGAAGTAGTTACAGACAGCAGCCAGCCAGGCAACAGCTCGGATCAGAGTTGGACTTGATATTTAGAATTTCCCAAACCAAAACCAATAACCGAACACGAGAAGGGAAGGAGCTGTTCGAAAAGAGACCCGTGCCGTGCCGTGCCATGCATGTATTTAATCTACAACTTGCAGACCCGTCTGTCACTGAACACTGAACACTGATCACATTCACTCAAAGGCACATAACAAAACTTTATAATTTGTTTGTATCATACGCCAGCCAGTTGCACAAGGATTGTATATGAATGGCACACAATATGTGGTGTTAATGGCAGTCCAATCCACATTCCTCCAGGACTGGGCCATCCGACTTGGCCAAGAATGGATCAACCCGAACCCATAAAAGGGAGAAGATGGAAGCCAGCAGTATTGACCACACAATAATGATTGTAGGAGTTCTGTTCTGCCTACCAAGCAGACCCTTGAGGAAAGGATAGAGGTGAACAATAACCCAGAAGGCAAAGAAGAGCTTACCAAACAGAGGCCCCCATGACTCATACCCATTGTTTATAGCATTGGAGACTCCAGCGACTACGCCTATCAAGTTTATTATGAGCAGTGTGGTTGGTGGGATGAGCAATGTCGTCCACTTAAATGCATAAAGCTCCGAGAAATCTGCGTCGTCCCCTGCTTTTGATGTCACAGTAAAGTTTGTATCAACACCAGCTAAAACCTTTAAAATCCCTTGAAACACAGCAAACAAATGCGCTGACACCCCTCCAATCACCCAAAACTGCTCATTTCTCCACCACTCATCAATGCCAACGCCACTCCATCTCATTTCCAATATGCTCGTTGTAAAGATGCAGACGAAAAGAGACAGAAACCACAAGCTAGCAACATTGCTCAGCTGCAGTAAAAAATATAAATTAATGTTTGAAAAATAATCTTAGATACCTATCATGTGCTAAGTGAGTCATAAAGTAGAGCAAGTCACTACTCTCCATCAAATTTTATGTACCTCTGGAGTGATAAATTTGCCTGTTAGCAGACATACAGCAGGTAGAGTGCAATAAGCAAGAAGTGGAATGGATGTCCATGGATATACAGTAGCATTTATGTAAGACAGACGTTCCAACCACTTCAGACCCCCTCCATACCCGTACCAAAGAGGGCAATGCCTACTCAAGAATATTTCGATTGATCCAAGGGCCCACCGAAGGACTTGGTGCAAACGATCAGACAGATTAATGGGAGCAGACCCTTTAAATGCAGGCCTTGCAGGGATACAATATATGGATCGCCACCCATGGCAATGCATTTTAAAGCCTGTTAGGATATCCTCTGTAACTGAACCATATATCCAGCCAACCTGGATTGGAAGGAAAGTTTAATTGAGCAAGCAAACAAATTATACCAAGATATAAGCACAGAAATGGGATCACCATCTTACCTCCTTTCCCCATTCTGTTTTATCTTCATAGCCACAGCTAATGACATGGATGGCTTCTTTAAGCAGAGATGCTGGGCTGGTGCTTTTCAGTGTCCCTCCATCCTCTAGCAAGGTGGATGCCACAAACACAGAAGACTGCCCAAACTTCTTTTCCAACTTCTCCTCAGACATCAGAGTCAAATTTTTAACTTCAACACCTGACAAGGACTTCTGAAGTCAAAAGGCAAACAAGTTTGCTGCGAAACAAGGAACAATTTGGTGTATTTACCATTTATAAAAAGACCTATCTCTACAAAGGTAGCAAACATACATCTACACCTCTATCACCTGCCTGGCATAAGTTAGGGCTGCTAGATTGAGACCAATTTTATGGAAGGCAAGGGTTTACCTTCAATGCCCTCTTCGATACCCTCCAGAGCACAGACAGGTGCCAGAGCCTCTGTATCTCCCTTCCTGGAATTCCTTTTCTTCATATCAGTCTTAGGTTTGTTGGCCTTCTTCCTCTTTCCAGAACAAAAGCATCCACAACAGCACCATTTTGGCAAGCAGTTGCATGTCCTGGTTGGTGGCTTCTTTGTTTTTGGAGCATCATAACCATAGAGAGCCTGCCTTCTGAAGACACATCCAGTCCCGACGTAGATAGGCCCTTGGATTCCATCCAAGCCTTTCATGTTAATCTGTTATTGATGATGACTTACATGTTAAATCTGAAATAGAACACAAACGAATGCAAAAAGAAACAAAGATGTCTCACTGGATATAGAAGCATACATCGAAGAACACCGTATTTCGGTTGGCATATCGGTCATGCCTGTCGATACCATCAAATCTCTGTGGGAACTGGACATAGCACACTCTCTTTCCTACCAACGGATCCATCATGAAACACATTGACTCTCTAAGAGCTTTACTATTATTGATATAGTGATCACAATCCAAGTTCAACAAGTAAGGTGCATTCGTAAGAACAGCTGAGACTCTCACCTGTTTGACATACAAGATGACAAGAAAATGTGACTCCCAAAGGAAAAAGAAGAGAGAGACAACAAATACACAAAATTTTATCGACTGCTAAGAATATGGACTTCCAAAGAACTCTCTCTCTCTTTTTCAATTTAACCTACCAAAGCATTCATTGCTCCAGCCTTTTTGTGGTGGTTAAACCCAGGTCTCTTTTCTCTAGAAACATATACCAGGCGTGGTAATTCTTTCCCATCTGTGTCATGTCCTCCACTTTGGCCAAGAAAAACCTAAGAAGGTGCATCTAAACTGGTTTATGCCAAAATGCACGGGAACTATATGTGTACAATACAATATCAAATTCTCATGTCACAAACCTGAATCATCCCAGGATGATCACGAACATTATTTCCAGGCCACGGAGTTCCATCTTGCATCGTCCATCCTTCTTCTGGAACCTTCTGAGCTTTAGCAACCAAAGCATTGATTCGAACTTTAAACTCTTCATATTCTCTCTGAAACAATAGTAAGTGGAATATTTACTAATATTTTCTGCAATGAGTAAGAAGGAAGTATCAACTGGTAGTAACCCTCCCAACCTTCATTGCTCTCCGTTCCTTCACAAATGATGGAAGCACCTTATCTTTAAGATAATCTATCTTTTGTGCAAAATACCATTCAGGTGCCCGTGGTTCTATGCTAAACTTCTTACAGAAAGGGACCCACTTTTTAGCAAACTCAGATGTTTCAGACAGTGCCTCAAATGTCAGCATAGCAGCACCATCATCTGAAACATAACATGAGACCTTGTCGACAGGGTAGTCCACTGCAAGAATGGAAAGAACAGTGTTTGCAGTCACCAAAGGAGGCTCCTTCAACGGATCAACTGTACTGACATAAATATCAACAGGGCAAAGTTGTGAAGGCTGGCCTTCTTTCTCATACCTGAAAAATGGAGAATTAGCATGAACTGTAAATGCGCTCAAATGCAGACCAAAAGGAAAGTCGTATTCAGATTACTTGCCTCAGGGACAATCTGTCCAGATAAGTTTCCCTGTCAATGGGAAGCCACTTTGGGAACTGATCAAGAATCCATGAAACAGCAAACCAAATCTCACAAATTACTGAGATGAGCCACAGTGCATATGCATCATTCACAGGATGCATGACCCGATAATGAAAGAAGAATCCAAGAGCAACAAGTCGAATCATGATGATCATTCGGTAAGGATTGATTTGGCTCGATGGAATTGGCAATTTTCTTGACAAGGGCTGTCTTGCCTCATCCATTCTGACCCATGAGTGACACAAATAATTTCCAGTGATCAGCAATCCTTGCATATTTCAAGCATTATGGTATAGGAAATGGGAATATTAATAACTAACTTTAGAGGAGAGAAATTGGGCTAATTTTAAATTTAAATCATATTAGCTCTCACTCTGTATTTGAATATGCATTCATTAGGGGCCTATGTAGAGAAATTGCCCTACAATGACTAAACACAATTCACAACCTCAGAAAAAAGGAGCAAAACTGCAGAGGAGCACTTACAGTGGTAGATCAGGGCCATTCCCATCCCCATCATAGTCCCAATCTTTGCCACCATTTTCATGTTTCATCATCTGTAATTTCTCTTGCTTTTGCTTCCAACTCTCCATCCTTTCCTTCCAAGCAACACTACCATAGCCATAAGCAGCGAGGTCTTTGGAAGGATCCATGGATCTGGCTTGTACTGCAAAAAGGATAGATGCCAAAAATTCAAGTTAACATAAAGAGGGCAGGTAGCCAAGAAGAATTGGATTTGGAGTATGTGAAGGAAGGCAAGACTGCTGAGTGAGATGGTTACCTGGAAAGGCAGGATCTGAGAAAGGAAGAGGGTGGATCCTTTTGCCTCCGGCAGTAGTTCCCATGAAAGAAGGGACCAAAGCATGTTGTTCAGGAGGGATATCATCAACCTGCGCCAACAACTCACAAGCATTATTAAAGCAACAAGCAACGCATGGAAGAAGGAAAGTATGGAAACGATGAGTTAGGAAAGCAATCTTGTTCAATTGAGTGAGAATTGAATTGAATGTGAGAGTACCATTTGACCATTTGTAAGGAGGGGATGTTGGGGGATGGGATGAAGGACTTGAGGGAAATCAGAGTCAGAGGCACGGCCATAGGTCATGTGGCCGTGAAGCATTGTGTCTGCAGCAAGCGCCTGCTGCATACCATGTCTGCTCCTTGTTGCATCAAAACTGAATTCGTGCTCCAAGTCATCCACACCATCTTCTTCTTCATCACCCTGCACCCTGGCACACCCTGGCACCCATAAAAACTCCAACATTATTAACTGATATGAAATATTCAATTATATATTCAGTAGTAGTATTAAAATTTACAACAACTATGAGATAGTAGCAGTAGTAGGAGAAAATTGGTATAATTAGTTGGAGTGGTTACCCTTAAGACGTTTGAAGCGGGTCTTGCACTGAGGACAGACTTGGCTTCCCTCGCAGCGCTCATACTCATAGCAAGTGCGGCAAATGGGAAAGGCACACTCGTTACAGGCCACGAACAGCTCCCCGTCTGCAGTCAGGCCTACATCATCTCCACAAATCTGGCAAATCTGCCCCTGTAATGCTTTCGGCTACAAAACCAACACATCAACAGTTACACTAGATTCATTCATTCATTCATTCATTCATTCATTCATTCACAATTGATACACAGTCTATATTAATTAACTAATTAACAACACAAAGGGCAGCAGCAGCAGCCACAAATTACCAACCAAAATGTAAACATAGATAATTAAGAAAGCAATGAAGAGTTAGCAAATTAATGAGCATTACAGCAGATTCCCCATCACGTTCACGGCGGATGACGACAAGCTCATTCCGGTTGTGAGAGCCGGCAACTAAACCAGCACTCGCCTCCATTTCAGAATTCAGACAGCTAGAGATCGATCTCCCGTCTTATCCTTATTTATTGTAGCTGCTAGCTACTCCCACATCTGCAACTATGCCCACCGACAGCGTTGCTACAATTTCTTTAGCTCTCTCTCTCTCTCACACTCAGTTTGGAAATATCAAGGAAGATTTGCTGCTGCTCCTCCTCCTCCACCTCCTCTTCTGGCTTTTCTCGCTCTTATCATTCTTTGCTTCTCACTTATCTCGCTCAATTCGTTTAACTTCCCTTGCTCGGTAATTTTTGTTTTTGTTACCAAAACATAATAATATACGCCGATCAGCTCACAGATGATCAAGTACAAGCCATCTGTTTCCTTTTTAACTCAACTCACTCTCTCACATCAGAATTCAGATAAAAAATAATTAATAAATTAACTTAAACCTAATTACCAACTAACCCCAACTCAGAACAAGTCAAGTCAGAACTCAGTCACTCACTCTAGTTCTTCTAGTAGTGAAAACTCTCTTCTCTCTCTTATTGTTCCTGAGTTAATTAATAACATTCTCTCTCTCATCCTTAATTTTCCCTCTTATTAAAAAAAGTCTTATCAATATCTCCGCCGACACAACTGCTGCTTCTGCGTCATTATTACTCACAACTCGTACACTATTCTCTAACGGTAACGATTCTCTCGCGTCAACTCCTCGCTTAAAAACTCAACTCTTTGCTTGCTTGCTTGCCGTTAATTAGATAACACAGAAAACTGCTTACGTCATATTTACTCTGAGCCAATCAGCGATTCCTTCAGGGATCTTCCTGGCTGCTGTAACTGTAAATAATTGGACAGAAGAAGAAAACTGACGGCGGGATAAAAAAAAACAAGACAGAAAAAGATCACCATTAAAGACGAAAATACGCGAGCTGGATTGAGGATCTACGGATATCCGAACTTCTGAATATGTAAAGATTGGAACCATCGATCTAACCAATGGCTGTTCCTAATTCTGATTAAAAAAATATCAACCACAACTCAACAACCTTCTTCATTGTTGTTTCTCTTTTATCTATTTCTTTATTAATTTACTTACACAAAGGAAAAAAAAAAAAGTAAAACCAGAGCAATAAACAAGAAACGTTGAATTATTAAAAAATGTTGACCAATAGTTTATCAATTCTTGTGAAAGTAATTAATAGTTATATATAATAAGAGTGGTGCTAGAGGCACCAACTTTAGGCACCAATTTGGTCACCAATTCTCTAATAGAGGTGGAGCCCTCCAATACAACGGGTCCCAAACTCTATTAGAGAGTTGGTGCTCAAGTTAGTGCCCAAAGTTGATCCCTCTAATCATTTTCCATATAATAATGAAAGAAAAAACTGAAGTGAATATAAACAACTGGGCACATGTGGAATCAGGCGGTCACGTCGCCAAACGGTCTGCTAGCTGTATCTCGTCGTTCCCTCTCTCCTGTCCTGTCTGACCCACCACCACTCTCTCATATAGATATATATATATATATATATATATATATATATATATATATATATATCTCTCTGCTACTGTAGATTTGGGGACTCCTTTTGACTTTGCTTTTATTTATTTCCTTCCCTCGCCAACTCTACCTTTGACTCTCACTCTAAGTTACATATGCGATCACTGATTCACTGATCAATTTATCAAGCTTCCTAATTACGTAACGCTCAACTACTGCTCATCTCAAACTAATTGGCCTCCATCATAATTCATAGACAAATCTTACAATATTTTATGTCTTTATCAATGTAGCTGCCAATTAACAGAACTAGCAAGTTCCTTCACTCGTTTATATGTCCTTTCCTTCCCCCTTCCCACGAACCCTGATTGTTGCATCAAGTTTACAGTATCACTAACATAGACATAAATAATGTATTCATGGTTGGATAATGTTGTTCACTATGTAACAGCTCTCGGACTCCATCATTATTATATGGGCTTGTGTGCGACTCATAAGTCCACTATATACCAATGGAAAAGATTATGTGGGCTAGTAACCATGTAATCGGCGAACCTAGTATTCTATTATATGGTAGGTTCTTATTATTGGACTTGGACTGTTACTAGTACTACCTTTGTTAGGATTAGGTCTTTCCTTGATCGGAGGAAAACCAAATTGACATTGTTTTTACCATATATGGCTGAGCACATTCCGCAGACGATGAAGCAAAACCACCACTTGCCGAAGACCAAGTAGGAAGAGTAACCTAACACAACAGTCCCACGTCGCCAAAGTATGAAGGTCGGCATCACGCAGGAGACCACTTGTAATTCGGAAGGCCATAACTACTGATTGATACTTACCTTGCCAAATAAATTCAAGGCACTCGCCTTCACCTGGTGCACACATGTCGCGCCACTGTTTATACCTGAAATTTTTGGCCCACGACCCTAAAAGTATTGTTGACATGTTGCTAGCCCATTGGCTAGACTTCGGCCCAATATAGAAGGCCCAAACCCAAGACCATAAAGGGCAGTGGTCGAACCCCTTCAGCCACGGCCGTCCTCGGCCCATGGATGAAGGATCGGCCCAATATTTGAAAGGTCAGCCTAATCGCGAGAACGTATCGAGGATGACAATAGACCAAAGGTTCGGTCTTAGGTCACGACCATAGTATTTTGAGCCACGGTCGAGTAAGGAGTATAGGTTGTTGTCATGACGTGTCCATTATCTTGGGAGATGTGCAGGTGGCGCACTAAGGAATTATGGGAACGGGATTTTAGGAAAATGGTGAAGACTTTGTGCATCGTGACAAGGCGCATTTATGAAGATCAGTCCGTGAGACCCATGACAAACAATAATGAAAGAAGTGGTTACCTTGGCTTCTACCTGAGCTCAAAATCATCCTCCAATCAGAGCCAGCCGTAGACCGAATACTTGGTCAAGGTCGTGGTTACTTCTAGCTGTGGTCAAACTCCAAGTGCCCGTCGTTGTCAAAAGAACGTGTCCATTACCTTGGGAAGCGCCCTAATCAGTAACTTTTAAGGGTGCGACAAGGCGCATTCATTAAGACCAGTCCATGGGGCCATATGACCCAAGATCGAAAGAGATGGCAAGAATTCTCTGCCTTGCCTTTACCTCGCTCTCCTTCTATAAATACAAGACTCCCAACAACAGAATGAAGGTCCAGCACCAAACAAAACCTCTAACAAGCAACTTATCTTTTTCCTGTAATGTATTTTCAATATCTTAAAATGTTTTCTTAGGAATGGGATAACTATTGTTAGAAAATCCCTTCCGCCTAAGTGGGCATTCCCCATTCCTATCCATTCATCAAAGTATGAACAACATTTTTCTTGTTTCTTGCAAAGATTATCTTGAGCACCACCCTTTGCATCCAAATTTCTCCAGATAATCACGTTTCAGGAGAAGTCTAAACCCAATTAACGACCAAGTTTGGTGCAGCCATCGTCAAATTACCCAATTTGGCGACCCCATCATCTACCAATCGCCAATCACATGTTCAGCACCACAAGCCGTTGAATAACCAGATTCGGCACCATCACAACGACCGTCTTCACCATCACCAATGGTCTTGTAGTTTAGGCCGTGAACTTGACGGCCGATGTTTGTGTAGGATTTCAAAACATTTTTAAGAAGTTCATTTGAATATTAAACATGCATTTAATCAAATTAATCGCAGCGAAAGTCTATGGTTGTGGTTTAAATTAAAAAACAAAACCTCTTCCAAGTATCTTAAGCCACGAACATTGATATGTTTTCATAAATGGAAAATTTAAGAGAAATGATAAGATCTAATTACCCTTGAAGCAATTATATGAACCAATTTGTGTTTGGTCTTCTCTTGATGATTTCCTCTTTGTTGATCTTCTCTTTGATCTTTGGTCTTTCTCCTCCATGTGAGCCACAAAAGTATATGGCCTCTTAAGTCTCCACACCAATGGAACCTTGAGATGAGAGGAAGTATCTTGAGAATACAAGGATGCTAGTGCAAGATTCTCAAGTTGGTTTCAATCTAAACCCTTTGAAAGATGAAAGTGTTTCACTCTTGAAAACTCTCTTTTATCTCTCTTTGATCTCCCAAACCTATTTGGTTGATGTTGGATTGTGTTTGTATGTTAATTAGCTTATGGAACCAATTCCCATAAACATTTACTTAAGCATTTTCGGCCAAACCCCATTGGGCTTCCACAATTGGGCCTTGTGATACTTAAATCATAATATTTAGGTGTCTTAAGCCCTTGGGCTTGATATCTAACCATTTGGGCTTCCTATTAACTATTACCAAGGCCCAAATACGTTTTTACACGTAATAAATCATCCACATCAAATCAATCAAATTGATTTCCTCATTCTCATTTGTATTACTCAAAGTTAACCGTTTAAGGTGTGCGATTCATTAGGTTCTAATTAGCAAGGCGGTTGGAAAATATTAGAACTCTTTCTAATCAACTATAATTAAAACCCCTTTTTAATTCTTCCTTTATATGGATAGATCACAATCAATCCTAGAACTTCCACGAGCCAAGAGTGACATATAGCAATATATCAAGGCTACCCAAGCTAACCAGAATAGATGAAAAACCTATTCAGTTGGAATTGCAATGCAATACGATCCTTCTCTTATACAATGTTTCAAATCATATTATTAGGGTATGGATTAACTATGTCAAACCCCTAATATGATTTATAACCTCATGTGATTCAAAAGAACATGATTAAGAATAACATTCTAAACCAAGCTCAAAATACTTTGGCCAAAGATTTGCTGAATCACATCTTGAAACATTCGCCTTCTTTATTGAAGGTAGAGATTCCTTATTGAACATTCACATGCCCCTATGATGAATTAAGAGACCCCAATAACACTTAAGACAAATCTTTTACGGCTTGCCTTTGAGAGCTTCAAAGATCAATAACGTATCACAGGACAACCATGATCCCTCAGGTCTAAAGACTAATTTGCATTATTGCAACTATGAGTTCTCATTTGACATGTAGATAAATACTCCATACGAGAACTACGGTTGATCGCGTTCAGTGTACTCATTCACTAATGAGCACCCACATACTTGTATTAGTGTGAACTACCCAAATGGTTTGAGACTAACCATCATCCTTATTGAGCATACATAATATGTGCTAATCGTGTTGGTTTATCAATGCCCATTTGATAAACCTATGATTAGGAACATTTTGGGATATTACAGTTAGAGATTAAAGGTCTCCCAAATATAATCTTCTTTAGATTACTTTATCTCTTATTTAGCATACCGTGGGCATTTGTTTCTTTACACGATATAAAAGATAACAAAATAAGTTTGCCCTTTATATATCATATACGAAAATGTATTCTAAGGATATTACATCAAATGTATTGGCTCTTAGGGCACATTTCTACCATTTTGTTCCTT